ATGAAAACACTGTTTTCTGCTAATGGTTAATTACCGTTTTTTTGGCAATTCTCCCCAGAGAATCCAGGTTTACACCTGCAATGATAGTCTTGTCTGTCCTCCTGACAAAAACATTCGCCTCCATTTTGACATGGTTTGACCTCACAGGGATTCTAAAACAAACATTGTTATATCTGATTATTTGAAATCCACTTGAAGAAAGAGTCTAATTTCAAATAACGCCGCGCAATACTCCAGTTTCGAGATCTTATTTGTGCACCCTTTACCTCGAGAGCACGTAATATGTATCTTTTATTCAGCAGAGAATCTATTTTATTATATGATATAGAGTGTGATACTGGGGAATATCAAAATGATAAAACTGATATCCCCACTGCCACCGGTGTTGATATCAATGTTATCAACACTGTGGCGATAACAAGTTTTAACCAATGAGATTTCAGTAGTTTTCGCGGGCATCTGAAATATGCAAATTAGAACACAACGCGCGTTCACTAAAAAGTTTGACGTGTTTTTTTTTCGTACAAGAAAGAAACCATGAATAGTGAACCTTTGCCAAGGTTTGTGGTAAATGTAACTGACGAAGACATCCATGATTTCGTCGATAAACAGGAAGATGTAAATACAAAACGAAAAACAGCGTACGACATCCCCGAGATACTCAGTTCAAGTTCAATTCATGAACTTTCAACCACAGTTCTGAATGACCTATTGTCAAAATTCATCTACGGATCGAGACAACAATGTACCGCCTACTCAGATCATGCAAATCACGGGGCACCGTAATGTCAACTCGGTGAACAAGACAATCATCAAGAGAACATATCAAACATTTTGGCATTTAGAGGTCCTACATCTGCCCAATGTTCATGCACAACAACAACAACAAAACAAGTTGCTGCCGAGTCGACAGAGGAATATCGTGTCAGTCATAAGGCCGAACAGCAAGCAGCCTCTTCAGCTTTTGGTTCTCTAATTTCTGGGATGATTAGAGGAGGGGCATTCAATATTACTTGTAAACTTGCAGCAGAAATGTCCTGTAAAACGAGAAAGCACTATGGAATGTAAAAAGTGGAAACGTATACGCGTTGTAGAAAGCAGCGACGAAAGCCAAAATGACAAACTTTATAAGTTTATTTTAAAACTTGTATTTTTTGCCTGAACTATTCTGGCTTTTAATTTTTATTGCTTAGATCATTTTTTATAAAACTTCTCTGTATTTTAATTTCTTGAATCTTTGAGAAATGAAACATTGGATTAACTAATCATGTACGAATGCAGAAAGTTGTGCGTGTGTGTTTTTCGCTAAAAAATTGAAATAAAATTCTTCATTAGTCAATCTTGTCAGTATTTTTAATCACATAATAAACAGAACATTACATGGTCGCTTGGAGATATGAATTTTATCTTCTCCTGGGATATCAACACTCGAAGATAAAATCCATATCTCCGCGCGCCCATGTAATATCCTCTATATTTTGAAATCTACTTGAATAAAAAGGTCTAATTTCCTCTTTTTTCTTCTTCTTCCTTTTGTTATTTATCCTATCTTTTTCTTAACCCTTTTTCAATTTTTTTTTCATCTTTTCTTCATCATTTGCTTTCAAATGAATTCTCCCCTTTAGCCTCTTTTCATCAATGTTGGGTCTTGTTTTTGATGGTTTTCTACTATCACGCTTACTATAACAGCTTTGCATTTAGGGGTCTGAGATTGGGGGATGACATCTGTTCTGCCTTAAATAAGGAAATGTTTCTAAATGGTCCGAGCATTTTCTGAACGATTGTAAACTTGCCTTTGCTGCTTTAATTTTGATTTTTGTTTTATTGCTTTAGCAAGTTTATACCAACCTTTTCTCCATAGATGAAACCATGTTCTTGCACAAGCTCTTTATCTTTTGCTCTTCTTCCGTTCAAATAACAGTCTCCAGTCGCTTCATTGAAGTTGAACGACTTGCACTGGTCACCAATCAGGCAGAGAGCACAATCAAAGACATCAGTAGCTTTCCTTTTGTGGATGGTTTGACCAACAAGCTTGTGGTCATCGCATCGCTTGTGATGATGAAAGAGGACCGCTGATCTTTATTTCCAACATCGGTCGATGACATAACAAGGTTTGGTTGCACCATCACGAAAAGCATGAAGAATATTATATCAAATAGCATTTGCAGCAAAATCCGAAACGTTTTCTAAAATAACAGAATTGAAGGCGTAAAAATGACTGGCAATCAAGTGGAAAAGCTAGTTAATGTAGCTGTTTAGAAACAGGTGTTTTATTGAAACCACAGGCATTGTCGGGGGTGGAAGGGGAATATCTATTTAGATATTCCGCCATTCGCGCTGTACTCCATGCAGCGGTGAATATTCTTATTCCTTGATACTGTTTCGGAGGATATTCCTTATGATTTTTTTTTAACATTTGCTAGGTAGCAGTTAAGTTTTCATTTCGATTAATTCATAAATTTATTAAGCTGCATGGCTGAGTATTTCCTATTCTCGCTTTTGTGTGTGTTTTATTGAAATATTCCGTATTCCGTACATTTTTCAGGGAATATTCAATATTCCTAAGATTTTGAAGTACGATATTCAACATTTCAATATTCAATATTCCCCGGCCTTCCACCCAGATGCATTGCATTTAATATGTTCTATGTTATGAAGATATACAGTTAGTTAAGTGATATTGAGGAACTTGCGGCCGCTAATGTTATTGGCACTATTACACTGTTATCTTAAATTTCAAACAATTCGCCTTTGACGGCTTAATTCATCAGTGAATGCAAATAAAACGTGATCATATCACTTCCGATCTGTTTTAGATAGAAAAGAGCAATGATACACCCGAATGATATCTAGTACTTGTACAAATATTAGAGGAGAATATCCCCCTATTTAACTATAGACGTTATTGGCGAAATTTAATAATAATAATTATGAGATCCTGGTCGAAATTTTGACATTCACAACGCCAATAAGGGGTGAAATGCAACAGCTTTTGGGATTAGAAGGGATTATAGTGGCTTTTTGTTTAAATTGTTCTTTTGTATTACAATATTTAGCTTATTGTTTGTCTTATGCTTATTGCTATGCTTATGTCGATGCTTATGCAGCATGCTTGACGATCATACCTTTGTATTTTCTTTTGTTCTCGTCTTATGTTAATGTCTGTGTCTTAGTAAAAACCAGGCTTTACAACATTATTGTTATTATATGTCATAAAATCGCACGCCATGGTCGCCAAAGGACACACGATTGACACATAATAAGTAGCCGAAGTAAGTAAAAAAAGTGTTTTTTATTGGATAGTCCATAACTCAGTTCATAAAATTATCACCCCGAGTGTTTTGACATTTGAATTTGACTAAAACACTTTTCATATTACAGTGCTATAAATTCTTTATTTTTTTGGTACTATGTGTCTACAAATATATACATTTTTTTATACGTTTTTTTATATATACAATTTTTTCAATTGATATGCATGGAAAAAGATGTCGTCCACCACATTGTATGATGCTCATAAATATATATTTAAGAATTTCAATTTTGTGTGCGTCTACTGTATATAAACACAGATGACGTCAATTAATGTGATAATAACAAAGAAGTACGCCAACAGACGAAGGAGTTTTATTTTATATTTATATTTTCCCGTAGAGTCCGCAATTTCATTGAAAAGTGCGATTGAATGAGCACAACAGAGCGCGCGCATTAGTTCTTAGCATCTGTACTTTTTAAAGAATCATAACCACCCGTCGTACCTTGCGCGCTCGTATTATTATTTACATACGTTTAAATGCGTCAAGCATACAATAAATTATAGATTGATAGCACCTGTGAGGTACTTAGTTAAAGGTATTTCTGTCAAAACTGAAAGGACGGAAGACGATTTGCGCTCACTTTAAGAAATCCTACAAATCCGCCATTTTCGTGTCCACCTAAAATGGCGCTTCGGTTCGCAAGGTACG